TGCAGCATCCTTCCCACATTGCAGGTGCTCAGCACACCACAGAATCGGGGACAGCAACGAGAAAAAGCAACATGCTTTGCGGGCACGTTATGCAGTTTAAACGAACTTCAGGGGTGAGTTCCTGTGATATCTACCGGAGAGAATTAATCCCTTTGGGGCAAATGCCAGGACTATTACTCCAACTTCTGTATTCGTATCTGTTGTGATAAACACTAAATTAAAAAAAAACCCCACATGCAATAATTAGAAATAGTCCATTTCAGGTTTGTACAGCAACTACTTTATTATTTTCAAATGCAAATGTTTGCATTATTTGCTATTTTACAATTTTACAAACTAGGTATAAAAGACCATAAATAAATGACATAAGTTATGTGTACCTAAAATTCATGGAGGGGGAAAAATTACAAATTAAAACAAAATAGAAAAATCTCTATATCTAACCCAGAGATCATTCAAATGCACGAACCAAGAAATGCTGTTAGATTTTTTCAGGATGAACTAAATTATAATATGCCTCATACATTCTAATTTTAACCACAGTCCTTGCATATTCCAACATACTTGCAGTGACACAAAAAAATAAATGCACTCTCTTTTTATTTGTCTGATTAGTATTTCAGATTTTTTTTTTTTCTGGTTATGAAAATGTCACATAAAAGAAAAATACTGCTTTCTAAGTCCTGTTTACTGGCTACTTACCAGCCTTCTGTATTTTATACATATATATTTTTAATACATATGATCCATCACAAAATAAGTACAGCAAGAAACCTGGACAAACATCAACCAGTGGTGTGTGAGCAGGACAATTTCCTAACAAACAGAGGCTTATCACGTGAGACATTCCCAGGGGTGGATGACCTCTTCCCAGATGGGATGCAGTGCAGTGGCACTCCCTTTCCTTCTGCCCCTAGCTCCTGGGGCAGCACTTGTGGCACCTCCTTGAACCCCACCACACTGCCAGGCTGCCCTTGCTTCCCTCCCATGCACCTGCAGCTTCTCCTCCTCCAGAGCAAGCAGAATTACAGTTAATGGAGAACTTGGAGGGTCAGTGAGGAGGGAAAATAGGAGCAGGAGCAACCTTGGGACACCCATCTACAGCCCTGGTGAAGGCTGCCCTCTCTTTTAATGCAGTGTGTCCTGCCCCACCCTGGAGGGGGGAGTGAGCCCAATCCTGGGGCAGTTTGCTGTGCCCCACGGCCAGCGCCAGCCCCCATGGCCAGGGAGCAGGCAGGGAGCACCACCCACTCCACTCCACATTCACACTGGCCATACGTTCCCCGGGCTCTAGCTCCACTCTTCCTCCTCACACGACACTAACCGTGAGTTCTCCAAATACAGGCAGCTTCTCTAGGCAGTACCAGTGAGTCACAGCAACGTTCCTCAGGCCACAGAAGGACGACTGCCCTCCATGCACCTCGTCAGCTCTTCCTCATCCACACGAGGAACAGGACACTTCTCACCACTCGCCAGCTAGCTACTGCAACCTCACACTTCTAGCTGCATTTTTGTTCCTTAACTGCGCTGGGAGCAAATGAAGTGTTTTGATTATTACAAGTTTTCACAGCCTGCACACAGAGCAAGGTGCTTCTCTGAATGGAAGAACTGCATATTTTTGTTGGTATTCAACAACTCTTTAAAATCCTATTTGTCAGATAAAAAAGGCTACTTAAGAATTCAGTTCAGGGTTAGCAGTGGATGGGCGTGCAGATGTTGTCTCCATCAACTTGCTGTTGAGAAACTGGTTGATCTTGATCATGAACAGGGCATTAGTACAAATAAACAACACTTAAGAAAATCTTTAGCACCCTTATAGATCCTCTAATCCACATCTTCAAAACTTGAAATAGCCCCTATTTCAGGCTGCAGAACTACTCATCAAGGTTAGTGTGGCAGCTAAAAAATACATTTATACATAGAGAAATCAAACACTTTTTGAAATCAAACACTTAGGTGTTCTCCCTACCATTGCAGACACGAGCTATTGGCCTGCTCTCCTGACAGGGGATTCCTGCACTTCCAGAGAGGTTCTGGGCACATTCACAGGCAGCTCTAGACATGAGGTGACTCACACACAAACACACACACACAAGCACACATACGCACCTTTCAGAGGAGATAATAATCCATTATCCACTCAAGGAAAAAAATATATTTATATCACTGCAATGGCACGTTTTGTGTAAAATGTCACTTCAGCACTGTATATAGGCAGCTCACAGGAACTGGGTTCTTTGTTGTGGCACCTGGCCTGGCGTCCATAGTACAATGTGTACTGCTCCAGCACCTGCACTTGTCCAAGATGCAGCAGTGACAGCCAGGGGGATGAGGAGAGAAAAAAAATCAAAATATATAAATAAAACCAATGATAGGAAGCGAAAGCAGAAGGAGAGGAAAAAAATAATCCAGAAGTCTGCAGGGCTTTGACACAGTACGTTCCTTAAGGGACAACTGGGTGCTGAGTCTTAACGAGTTACACATCTCTCAGTGAAGGAAAAAAAATGGAGTGGGTGGCATGGGAAAAAAAAAGTAAAAAAAAAAGTCACACTGTCTTCAGGAATTGATAACTGTTCAATTTGTGTTTTCCAGGATCAGTGCTAGGGAAGACGCAACTGTGGATCCAGAAGGCTTCAGGTCTAGTCTCTGTACCTCTGTGGTCAATGTGATCAATAGGACGGGCTATGAGGCCAGGAAAGCAAAATCTTATTTCCCTGCACAAAAAGAAAACACATATATTAAAAAACAAGGAAAAGACAGACACACTCATGGGCCAACTGCCTCCTCTCAGGTTTCCCAACAGAAGCAGTGCTGTGGGCAGCCAGATCCTCCATGGCTGGTGCAATTGCTAATTCACATCAAAGGAAAAAACCTTAACTCATCTCTGCAGTGAAGAGGTAGATATGCAGGAGGTTCAAGGAATCAAACCTCTCCCCAGAGAGGGGGAAGAAGGATCTCCTGAAGGGGAGAGGAGAAAGTAGGAAGAGTTGCAATTCTCCCACGAGAGGGTGGATGAAGGGCAAGCACAAGGGGCTGCAGCCCATTGCCAGGCTCCTGCTTGCCAGGTTTGGCTGTCTGGAGCCAGTCAAATGACACAAGCACTTCCCAAGGGGGAGAACCCTTTGCCTTCCTTGACTCCTTTCTTTTCCTCACACTATTTCCAAATCTCACTTCATAGCACAGGTTTGTTTTTTTTCATTTTCTCTCCTCCAGCTACCTTAACTTGTAAGTGGATGTCCCCTCACTGGCCATATCTTATCACAGGGAACACAAACATTGGTGGGAGATCTGAGAACCCAACCATACGTTTTCACAGTTTTCATTCTATAGGGACACAGTTCTTCTCAATTTCTGTGGAAAATGTTGGAGTGTTTTCAATTACCTATAAAAAAGCAATTTTACAAACTAGCCAGAAAATTTGGGGTATTTTGTTTTTGCATAAAACGACAATCTCAGCAAAATGCAACAGATCTACAGCAAAGGGAAACTTAAAAGTATCTCTGCACTTAAGAAGCAAAAGAATTTTTGCTGCTGAAAGTGCAAGTGTCAGGTCTTTAAAATGAGTAACCACGTCTTATGTTGCCTGGTGAAATGACATTCAAACATGCAGGTTTAAGTAGTTTTTTTAAAAGAAATCTTTAGTTTAGTGAAATGGAAAAGCTTTTACAGCTAATACTGCAGAACAGTTTTTACTAAACTGTCATCACTTGACAGGATCCAAATTTAGCATCCCATATTCTGAACAAGTTGTTTTCTGAGAAAGTTGGAGGTGGGGAGAGTTAGTGGTTAAAATCAGCAAGTTATTGTTCACAGTGACAGAAAGAGATGTGAATGACAATACAGTAAGTGTGACTTGTCCAACTGAGTGACCTGTTTTGTATTTAGAATAAATGCAATTATAAAAAAATCTGACATATTAAGCCACTAACTCATTTCTGAATTGGCTGTCAGGTGTGTAGTGGGACCAAAATACTGTAAGACCAAACAACCAGGCTTAGAGCCACCAAAATATAAATCTCACCTTTCTGACACTGTGCCTAGCACAGCTGAAATGCAAGGTCTGTTCTAGAGAAAGTGTCATAAAAATGCTCCTCCTATTCATAAGTGGGCCTGATCCTGTCTCTTTCTATGGTCATCTCATCACTTTCCTCCTCACAGGGGCTTTAAAAGGAACCTAATTTACACATGCTGTTCAGGAAGAGTAATAAAAGCTTAATATAAATAAAATTCAAGCTTAAATTTGCTCAGAGCTTTACCAGATAAAGCTTTATCTGATGTGACCTAATGAGGACAACCACATTCCCATAGCCATCACCTCCACCCAGGAGCTCAGGGGATGCTTTCACTCACTCAGCTCTCCATCTACTCCTTGGAGGAGTTGGAGGGCAGCTTTTCAAGCATGCTCCATCTTGTTTGCCATACTTGCAGAGGGGCACTTAGCCCTCAGCAGTGCAGCCTACACTTGGCACTCACACCCACAGTCACCTCAATAATCCAGCCTTCGGGGCTGGTTTCAAAAGCAAGTTTAGTTCCCACAGCTGATGAGACTAGATCACTGTGTCTGAAGTATAACCCTGCTGTCTAACATAGAGCTCCCACCATGCCTGAAACCCAAACTCTGCAAAACCATGAGTGAGTTTCTTTCACCCAAAAAGTAAGGGCATCCTATTGGTCCCAGTGTGAGCTCTTAGGAATGAAATGAGTGAGCACCAATACACACTCCTACACCTTGTCTGCACAACCTAACATGCAACAGCTTGAGAGCAAGATCACATTTTGAAACTGCAATTTTCACTGTCATCAAATAGAGCAAACAATAGGAAACGCTAAGCAATTAGTCTGGGAAACCAGCACAGGTTCATACAAACCAGTTGGGAGCCCCAAACAATACATACCACAGCACTTTTTTTCTTTTTTCCCCTGCAGTTATGAAATTCTAGCAGTTTAAGAAATAAAGCACCACAAACATGTTGGACACTGTACTTCCACTGACCTTCTCCATTTGGCAAAGGGAATCACTTCTTGAAAGAGTAAAGAAGTTCAAAAGCTCCACAGCCACGATTGTCACAGCTGACTACTGGCAAGATGTTCATAAAATGTCTTTAAGTGGTAAGCTTCAGCACAGCACAACAGCCAATAATCTCCCTTGAAGTCCAGTTTTGCCCAGTCATCCACGAGGTGGTTATTTCATGTCTCAAGCCCATAAATGTTTAGATCACTAACTGGCAGGCACTGATTAGCCAAATGATACTCTCACTGAGGTTTCTGCAAAGTATTAGTGATGCATCAAGTCTGCAGAAAATATCCTAGGGCAGATTCTTCATTCCAGTGAAAGACGCACAAAGGTGGTTTCACCCACAAATAAAACACTATGGTTGTAATCCTACAGGTCATAGGGAGAAGGAAAGTACTTTTGCTTTTAAGCACAGTATCTGGCAGCAAACATAGCATCAAAACTTAAATGTGACTTTATATTTATATAGATACACGTATTTTACATATGGTTGATCAACAGAGAAGTATGTTCCAAGAAACAATTTGTTCCAGGTCTGGTTTAAAACGACGGCTTGTCATTTCTGGAGGCCCCCTCCCAACACACACGCTTGGTTTCCACAATCTGTACATCAAGCAATGCTGCAGATCTTTATTTCGACAGGCAAGGAGACGAAGTAAAAAAAGTGCAGTTCTTCAATTAAAGTGCATGGATGAGGTAAACTAATTTCAAGAGTTTTGAGTTTATTCAGCACTGGCTCAGACGGGAACCATCCTGCCGTGCATCTGTTGCATTTGGGTGCGCATTGCTTGAACGCTGCTCAAGATCTTGTTCTGGTGGGTGATGGCAGTGATCCCAATCCTGGCCAGGTCACTGTGGAAAGCAAGAGAAGCAGGGGACTAAGAACTGTGGATCAGATGCTGGTGCAGAGAGAAATACTAAGAGTCAACCACAAGCAACATAGCAAAAGCAAGGCAGATGTAGAGAGATATTTAATTAAATAAGTGAAGGCATTGTGGAGGCATTTTAAAGTTATCCTCTGTCCAAATGAAAGACATTCCATTCCTTTAATGAGTGTAATGATATGCAGCACAAAGTAAAAGAGGCTGATTAAATCCAGATTTACCAGTTTTTTTGTTATATCACTGAGTACTTACTCCTGGTTCATATGCACCACAGCCTCTAGGGTGGTATAGCCAGCAGCTGTGAAGTTATCCTTGTATCGCTCCATTTTAATGGCTTGGAGCCAGTCACCAACAGAAACAACTGCCGAGAACTCCGGGGAGCTGGGATCCAGCAAGGCTGTGCTAGGTCTGGATGCCAAGCAGAGAAAGGACAGAGAAATGGTGTCAGTTGGATCATGAATTCCAAACCAAAGTTTGATCTCTGCAGCAATTACCCTCAATGGTTAGGGAAAGTAGGGGCAAGACGTTGCACCCAGCAAAACTGGTGGCTTTCTGCACAGCAACCCAGATCAAGGCAAGAAACTAAACAAACTGCAAAGCATCAGGCCAATTTTTGCTAAGAATGAATTTGACCTTAGGTTTCTCCTTTTGCTTTCAGATTTAAATTTGAACCACAATGCCACTTACCGTTTCTACCTCAGATGCAGCCAATTTCATAGAAAATGCTTTTACTTAAAAAAACAAAACAAAACAAAAAACCCCAAAAAGTAGCTGGCAATGCTGGAAGGTGTTCAGCCCATTGGGCCTGTATCTCCCAGGCAGCAATGCCAGACCTTGCCAATCCTGCATGTGTCAGACCTCAGCTCAGCAACCTTAGAAACACCACTGAAGTATGAGCACAGAACTGGGAGCTCACAACCTGCCAGACTGGTTTGGAGGGCAGAACTCAGGGCAGGTTCAGATAAGTCCTGTCTCTAGCCAGGTTTGCAGCAAGCTCAGTGCACTCAATCAAACTCAGGACAGCAGGGAGTTAATCCCCTCTTTAATGAATCCATTCCTGACCGGTGTGTGTGCCAGGAGTGACAGGAATCATGAGCTTTGATCTTTGTTTGCACTGAGGAATGTGTTTCTCATTTTCCCTTGCACAGATTTGCAAATAATTATTTTTGCAAAGTTTCCTTCTCTTATTAGTATCTTATTTATTATTTCACGTATATTGTAAGTCACAGTTTCATTAAACCATTTAAAATTACTACTATCTAGCTAACCAAAACAATGATCATTTAGCAATTTATTTGAAAATGCACATTATCAAAGATGAGGTGTGCAATAGCATAGCTATGTCTTGCCTAAGGCACTAAGCACGTGCTGGTAATACTAGGTACAGCTCTCTCACTGTACCATCTAACACTAGACCAATGATGGCAACCTAGTTATACGCAATTATGCTTCATGTAAAACGTCACACTATGTTAACAATGTTATACACCTATTTGAAATTCATATTCCAATTCAAAGAGAAGAAAAATAAAGATCTATAAATAGCCATGAACATGGAATGACCTTGAATAGGCTATTAACTTACACACACACAAAAAATTACCTTGAGCAGCCTATTAACTTTTTAAAAATCTATATATTTTCAAAGAGCACCAGAAATTGAAAGAAAGAAAAATGGAGGCATTCATACTGTGATTCTCAAATGAAATTATCACAGCAGATCATATTGTGAATCTCACCATGTAAAATATTTAAGCCTCAAAGGTGGATACATTTTGCTGGGCTACCAATGCAATTATGGCAATCTGGAAGATGGTGTGGCCATAGAGGCCTCACGGGGTTAATAATCCCTCTTTTGATAATGTACGTTATGAGAGTCACAAAGGGATGTACAAGTTTAAAAACAAAAATAGCTTTTTCTTCAGGATGTTGTTCTGTTGGAGGCTGAATCAGAACCTCTGCTACTCCTTCACTTAATTTTGTATTGTCCAATGGATATTTTTCTGCCTTCTTGTCTAACAAGTATTTTCCCATTACTCCTGCTTCTTTTCTTTTAAACTATTTTCCGTATTTGCTGCAAGCAAATTTACCTGACAAAGCAAAGACTTGGGAAAAAAAAATAAAAGAAATAAAAAAACCTGGTGTAAATTAGTAAAGCTCCTATTACTCCATCAGTGTTTCACCAGCTTAAACAAACTGCTGATCTGTCCCAACAAAGATATTTTGGTTTTACCCTACAACTCTGGGAGTTTCCTTCCTAATGTGCTTCTTTTGCACATACCAGGTATACCACGCTCAGCAAAAAAAAAACAAAACACAAATGTAATGTGGGATCAGTGGAGACATGAACCTGGCTTTCCACAAAATTAAATTCAAATTCACATAAAAATTAATCCACGCCTTCCCAATGCCTGCAAGGCTTTGGCTGCAATGCTGTAATGCTCATTTGCAAATCCTACACAAATCTAGGGTTTATAAAACTGGATGATGTACTTTTCCTGCAGAAAACCACATCACTCCTGTTAGCTACACTGCATTAGGACTACCCCTGTAAGCCCTTTTATGGGGCAGGGGGGGAGGGGAGGTGGAGATGATGATGTGGCAAGCCTCTAACAGCGCCTGCCTGCATCAGAACTTTTTCAGGGCATGTTTTAGACTGGGCTACAAATATGGTCAGTACTGGCATGATAGAGCAGCAGCTCTGCTCATTCAATTTTCCTCTTCACAGAGCTGAGAGAGCCTGGGGTGCCCAGTGGGGTTTAGCCATGCCCCAGCAAGACCCCTGTGCTCTCCTGCAGCGTGCCATGTCTGCTGTGCAGCCTGGCTCTGCAGAGCTACAGAGCATGCTGTGATCTGAGGTTTCAGCGACCTGCAGCTTTGCTTGTCATCTCCACTGTGCTCCCTTGTACATCACCATTACAAAAGCACAGCTGACCTGGAGCTCTCACTGCCTGTCCTCTTCAGGCTGTTGGGGTTGCGGATGAGTTTGTCCAGCATGTTGACAATCTGTCCAAATTTAGGCCTGTCACTGCGTTCCTTCTGCCAGCAGTCCAGCATCAGCTGATGGAGAGCGATGGGACAGTCCATCGGGGGAGGCAGCCGATACCCTTCTTCAATGGCTTTAATAACCTATAAATGGCACAATTAGGAAGGCATTAGAGAGCATCAGACACTACTCACATCTACCAGCTGATTATCATTTATCCCAGGGTGATCCAAAGTATGGAAACAAATCCCACAATTAAGTGAAACAACGTGGAAAATTGCGGCAAGGCTCAGGCAGTTGGTGGTCTCAGAACGTTTCTCCTTGGCAATTCAGAACTAAAAGGGTACAGCATCCAAAGCAGACATCAGATACAGCAGGGCAACGTACCATAAAAGAGTGCACGACATAACTCAAGTTAGAATTAAGCAACTATCCTTATTGACCAGAGGGCTGGAGAAGCAACAGTTCTACAGCAAATCTTTAATATCTGCCAGTTTAGGGTGCAATATGTTGAAGATTAATTTTCCCCCATAATTTTTAGGGTGCAGCAGATCACCCCCCCTCCTGGACTACTTCATCTCTGTTGGTAATACAGACCTTGTACAGAACCTGTTCTCTCCCCACTGTATGGTCTGAACCAAAAAACGCAGAGATGGGAAACCTTTTGTGCAGCTTTATCAAGAAACTTACAGAAGTCCAACACAGCAGCTTAAGTATGCATTTCATATTTAATAGAAACCAGAACTCACAAGCTGAAATAATTTCAAACCCTCCAAAAAAGGGCTCCAGAGCTCAGAACTCTGCTGGCTCCTTAGCTCTCAGAAGAACAGGATGTGGCCACAACTCAATTCAGCTATGACAGGGACATGATCCAGAAGCCTTCAGATCTTAATTAATCAATATGACTTTGCTTGCAGGATTCACCATGAGACTAGAGACCAGGAGCACACAGTGACTGAATTGCACTAAATTCCCCCGTTCTCATCTTGTCCAATTAGTGGCTAAAATCTCCTGGGAGGACAGAACAAGGGATATGCTTGCACTACTAGCAGCTATTCAGTGACCACAAACAAAGTGACTCTCACAACTCCAGAAAGTACGAAGATCCTTTTGATTTCTGTTGATTCAACAGATGCTGAGAATAACCTGACATGCACTTCTGCTTTGTTGTGAAAAGCACTGCTCTCACCATTGTTAGGGAGAAAAGAGTGGTATGTCTGTGCCATGTACTAAAGAGAGGATGCAAAGACAGCAATACTGGCTTTCACTGTCCTGTTTCAGCCAGCTTTTTGATATGTTTTAGCCCTGCACACCAGCAGGGTTTACCAGCCTCAGACACTAGCTCTGTGCTTGCTGCACTGCTCCGCTGTGCTGTGTAGACATGCCTGACAGAACTGAGACACATCTGGTGTTTTATTTTCTTGCTAAGTCTTGATGACTTCCTGTTAGCAAAGGAAGGCAAGATTGGGTGCCAGAAGACATTTCACATCAGAAGGAAATTAAAATTATATCCTCCGTTTAGATTAAATGCCATTCGCATCTAGACACTCTTTGAAAATGTTCGGCTCTCCAGAAGAAAGCAGATGACTTGTAAAATGACTTAACCACTCCCATGACCATATATTCAGATTAACATTTTCTGCTTCCTTTATGTGTTTGTAAATCCCTTGGGAAAAGAATTATGGATAATCTATGCCTCATTTTCACTGGTATAATTTTTTTTCATTTAATAAAAATTCTATTAGCAAAAGCTCTTATTAGCATTATTATGAACTACTCTTCAGGAATAGCAGCCATTGTGCTTGCTCCCTCTTGGAATACACTGAAGTAGTCCAGATGGTACAGTTAAACAGGACATGCATAATTTAAGAATGGTCATTTAGGAAAGCTGCTTTTTAATGTCCTCAAGGGGCAGCTATGCAATTGTCACAAGGATGCTCTGACTGATAATCAGAATTGGATATGTCTTGTTTTAGATATCCTACAAGTAATAAAATAATCTGGAAGAATTACAAGTACACTGGGGCTTGAAAAATTAACTACTAATAGGAAGCCCTATTAAATTCAAGTGTTTTTTTCTTAAAGACTTTAAATAAAGTCAAGATTTTATATCAACATTCAGATCTTCCCTCTCTTGACAGTATTATGATCTGACAGCTTAAATGTATTTGTTTCCCTTTACTCCATTTTTCTTTCTTAGTTTAATTGCTTGTAATATTTTTCCTAAAATTAAAAAGAAAGTAAGAAAAAAGAAAGCAAAAAAGATACATGCATACATTTTAGACCCTAACTTGAGAATCCCCTACTCCCTGACCAGGCTTGAAGTACTCAAGGAAGTCTTCATTCCAGAGAGCATCCCTGAGAAAACTGGAATCTACCACCCATTACATCCTTTTAAAAACCTGGAATAAACATCTTCCTACTATACTGTAGCTGACACAGAAACACATCAGCAGACATCTAAGGCCAAAGATAAATTGGCAGGGAGAACGAGAGAAAAGGAAGAGGAAGCTCTGAAGAAGACTCACATCCTGATTGGACATATCCCAGTAAGGTCTCTCTCCATAGGACATCACTTCCCACATGACGATGCCGTAGCTCCACACATCACTGGCCGAAGTGAATTTTCGGTAGGCAATTGCCTCTGGTGCCGTCCACCTGATGGGGATCTTGCCACCCTGTCACCAACAGAAGGAACCATAGCAGAGTGAGTCATTGCCCCAGCACTGTGCGTGGCTGGCACTGTTCTGCATTGCTATTAAAAACACAAACTGGTTGTGTGTACGCAATTCCAGAGCCCTTCCTAAGAAGGCAGCCACTTTCTCTTCTTCTTGCCATAAAACTGTCAGCTCCAACCAGGAGGCAATGCTGCCCATCTGTTTTCTTTAGTCACAAGGAGGCCAACCAGTGAATCGTTAAATGTATTTTTATCAGCCCTCCAAGAGATCTCTGCTTAGGGGTATGGTGAAGCATGAGAACGAGCCAGGGGTTTTACAAAGTATATATTAGATATTTGGTTGACAAAACAAATAAGTACATGCTGTTAATTACTATTTCCTTGCTTGCCTGTCTGACCTGTTTGGCCTGTTTCAGAAAAATGGGATTACAAACATTTTGCTTTTCAAAAAGGTAAAATAAAGAGAGGATAAACTGGAAAGATTTATTAACACTGTGGTGTTTCCCATGGGCAATATCCCAACTCCTACCAGAGATGTGAAAAGGCAAGCAAGCCCCTGGGCTCTCCCAGTCCCTGTGGGAGGAGTTCAAGGCCAGACAACAGTACAAGGCTGCTTTTGATACCTGTTGGAGAGATCTGCCTCTTGCTAAAATACTGCTTTTTAAGCAAATAAAACCACTTGGCCATCTGATTTGGGCCACTGAGGTCCTGCACTGTTTTAGAAGGAATTCACTCCATCCTGTTTATCTGATTTTGCCTTAGCTGAGTGATCCCCGGCCAGAGAGTTCTCCTTTTGTTTATGCTAATATGCAAGGTGTTTTTAATTGAGCTTTTGGTTTCCTGCAGTTTCATCTGGGGAACGACTTACACTGAACAAAGGTTTAGGGCTTTTTCATTTGCTTTTATGCTTTTTTGATTAAGTTTATTTTGGTAGGTGTTTTTCTCAGCAATCTTCTTGATAGTTTTATCCATATCTGAGTGCCAGCGTGTGCATACTTAATGGTTTATTGTTCTAATATCTCTCTCAAGTGTTTAATATGGACTTGTTCCAAAGTCAAGTGAAATCCAAAGGGGTCCTTCTCCTGGCTTCTCTGGCCATTTCATCAGGCCCCTTGTGAATCAGGTTGTAGCAGAATGAGCTTTGTGTGGCTACAGGATGCTTCACTTTAATGATCTATATTAATAACAGAGAGGAGAACACACTGTTCTCTTAAAAGATGCTTCAAAAACTGCATTTTATTGCATCGTCTCTGGTTAGGAAAAAGCTCTACTCTTTTCAGACACAGATACACAAACATTTTTTATACGTGGTTGTCATTCTAAAAATTGTCAATAAGCTCTTTTCATTTAGCTACTTGAGTACAGTGCAGTCAATCCAAATTTTCCTGATCCTTCATTACTGATACCAAATGAAGAAAATGCACTGTAATGTAAATGCCATTGATTCCCTGTGGTTTACTCTTGAGAGCAAACATAATATTTTATCTCCACACACTAAATTCAAAGAGAAGCTTTTCAATCGTTTCTGTCTTGCCCTTGTGTGCTTGTCTAAAACTTTGATTTCCCTGAATACAGCTTTTCAGACCTCTGCTTCTGCTTCTTCCATGTGCCACCCTTGTGAGTAAGAAATACCAAGGCTGGCCAGCATTTAATACTACATGTGTCTATCCTTCCTTGTAATGAATTGCAAATCCATTAAAGGATGAGTGTTGGGATTAAACTGCAAAATCTGAGTGCTGCAAACAAACTCTGCGCTAGGGAGAACAGATGGAGAATGGCAGATATTTAAAATGAAGAAAATAAGCAATTAAAAAAGGAGACTTTATAAACTTTTTTTTTCTTTGGTGCACGTGTTAATTACAGGGGTATTGGTACAAAGGCTGGTAATAGTTGGGATGCTGTTCTGTGGCCAGAAGTACTTGCATTAGTGCTGATCCACATGCAGCATAATAAAAAGACTTTAGCAAAATCAGTTAACTGTGGGATGCTGAAGTATAGATAAAATGGGAAAGAAACAAAAAATGGGAATGCAGGCTTCACACTTTTCTCAGTCTAAGTTCTTTAGGTCAAATTCATGACTAGCTTTATGATGGACAAATGTGGATTCAACTTCTTTTTCTTTTTTGGTGGTATACCTACACTTGTTGAATCAAACTGTGGTGGGATTAGCTATTTGCAAATAATTATGCATGTCTGTAGGTATCAGAAGGAATAGAAACCCAAGCTCTAATTTCTGCCATCAGATTCCTGTCATGCACTCTAAGAGCACACTGAAGGAACCAGAGGAAGACATGGGCCACAGCCCCAGAGAGGAAATACTGATGTAGATACAGATGTAACAGTAGCACTGCAGCAATTTATACTAGCTATAAGAGTCCAGGTCAATGTTTATTTTTAGGTTGCGATACAGGTTCTCTCTTATAACTGATATTATTTTAAAACACACCACTGTCATCTCCCACACAGCTGAGTGTGCAGGCAGGAAAACCCACTGGACATTTTCTTTCCCTCCTTACCCGTGTGGTATAAGCTGCTTCAGGGTCGTCTTCCAGGACGCGGGACATGCCGAAGTCAGAGACTTTGCAAACCAAGTTGCTGTTGACCAGAATGTTCCGAGCAGCCAGATCCCGATGCACATAGCTCATGTCAGACAGGTACTTCATTCCTGAGCCAATGCCACGAAGCATCCCCACCAACTGGATCACTGTAAATCTACCATCATTCTTCTGCATATGGGAAAAGGAAGAAAAGCAGAGAGCATTAAGCTAAAAGCTACATTAATGCCATTGCTGACACTGGCAAAAAGTGTATCTCTGGATTTCCATCTTCTCTCAAATAAAATGCAATGTTATTTCCTCAATCTACTTACTTGTGTCTAAAATTCACCAGTGAAGTACAAACCCACAGGTTCTGTCACAGCTTCCAGTGATGCAGTATCCAGTTTGCAATGAATCTGTTTTTTAATGAGACTATAGCATTGCAAAGCTTTAAAAAATGGAGCAAATCAGAACAGTCTCCATTAAACAGGGATCATTTAAGACCTTGCTATTTTAAACATCACATTTATTCTAAATCCTTCCACTTTACATTTATTCTGTGTTTTGATAGGAGGAACATTAGGAAATAGAATTTCCCAAATACAAACAGAATTTATTTTAAAATGCTGATCTTCAGTGTCTTTCTGAAAAAAACAAACAACAAAATCCAACACCCCCCCCAAAAAAAATAATTAAAACCAGAAAATGTTTCCCAGTATAAAATCTCTTTAGCTTACTATGAAGAAATCACCTACCCTGAGGAAGGCATCCAAGGAGCCATTTTCCATGTACTCAGTTATGATCATTACTGGTTTACCTGGAGTTCACAGAAAGAAAAAACACAATTCCTTGATGAACACCAATGTTAATGGGATAAAAATGGGTTGCACATGATTTTACTGCCAAGACACCTGGCTTACACAATCTAATTTAATTTGAAAAGTAGCAAGCTTATGCCCCAGCTGTGGGGAGCAAGAGAAGAAATATTACAGGACAGAAACATTTAAAGACCCCATCTGGAAGGTTAACCCTTTGGTTGACTCATTGACAAGGTCTTTAACTAAAGTGGCTCCTGTTCCCTAAGGAATATATGAATTCATAATAGAGAGCTAAGAAACAAAGATTTGTTCGAACTTGACATAAATCTTTGGTGTAATTAAATTGGTTGCTGACTATAAAGTCTTCCCTCTTTCCAAATGGAATTTGTGCATGCTTTGGTCTCTCTGGCTCTCTTAAGATCAACACTTTAGGTGAGTCAGAAGCTGCCAGCAGCTACAAGGTACTCCAAGACAACTGGACTCAAGAATGCAAAATATAAGTTGTTCCTCTCAACTTTCTCTGTCCCAAATTTGTATCCCATGTCTCTTGTTATTTACAAATGAAACAAATCCATTTGACTGATTAAGTCAAACACATGATAAATGATTAAATTAATTGTGTCCCCAGTTGGGCTTAGGCTTCAGCAGCACTCAGCTTTCCATCTGCAATACAGGCAGACAAGCTGGGCAATCTGAAGAGAAATGTAATGCCATTTTAGAGATACAGGGATGACTTCCAGGTGCTCTCCTACCTAAAGCAACAGCAAGTATATAAATAATGCTTGATGTCTTCAAGAGCTTTACAAAGTCATATGATGCTGAAACTGAAAACGTTTAGGAACACACAAGTAAAACTATTTCACAGGGCTAAATCATACTGGATATTCAGCACGTAGATATTTGCAGAAAGGGGTCCTATATCATCTCCATTCTCCACAAGCAATGGGAGATGTAGAAACGTGACTTAGCAAAGGTTGAATGGCAAAAGCCCAGTCCAAAGATGAGCACTGGAGTCAAGGGAGCACCTGGCAGTCAGCACCAGGCTGGCATAGCAACCCTTCCTCCCCATTTTGTTTTAGCCATAGAGTTTCACCCTAAATAAAAGACAGTGTCTCAGAGAAACTCTGCTTCTGTACTTCCTGGAGCAGCTCTGAATAAAGGTAAATTGTGGGGAAAGACCCAACGGACATGACACCTAGACTCTAGATAGCTCAATACTCTCCTGGCATCAGAGGTATCAGAACTAGTCAACTTTTCCTTGCTTCTGTTACCAGCAACTATCTGCCTTAGAACAATCAGCTATGAAAATTACCCTACCATGAAATGCTGCAGCACTGAAAATTCTTCTAATAATTTCTATCTCAGTGCATTTTTCACCAAGATGCTTTTTTCTTTATTGGTCAGGGATTTCTGTTTTTGAAGAAAAGAATATGCTATAAGGACTGACTGAAAATTTTACTTAGGCCAACATGTCTGTTTTACACATAATTTTTTTCTCTCATTACTTAATTTCACCTTTTCAGTCCTAACCTATCTTTTGCAGGGCTTTTACTATTCCTCTTTCTCTCTCCCTTCCCAACTGATACCAAAATTCTTACTGCTTACATCCTGTGCAAACTGGCACGCCCATTAAATGCCAGTTTGGTAGCTGAAACGCTTTCTGATTTGCATGATGGCAGCAGAGAAGTGATGGTGCTGCACAAAGCAAACTGCTCTGGATGAAGGGCTTAGTGACCTTGGCTGAGTACTTGTACCTTTAAGGAGAGAAACATGATAAAATATCATTCCCCTCTAATTCACTTTTGCAAGCATTCTTTGGTGGAAAGAGAAAAAAATCCAACCAAATCTGCATATGTCACTGTGTCATTTATCCTTTGCAACTGTGACCAGAAGCCTTCCACTGAACAAATACAGCTAAATGAGTTTTAATTAACCTTCCTCAATCAAAAGATACTATGTCAACATAGGAAGGGAGACTCTTTCAGTCCATTAACATGTAATTTCATTACTCAGGCACTTCTTTAGCAGGGGAGGGGGACAGAGAGAAGAGAAGATACCATCAGCGAGTCAATTATTAAAGTACTTGACTAGCAGCCAATAATGTATTCATGGTTTTTTGCTGCCTCTCTCAACCCCCATCTAGACCACTATTTATCTCACATTTTAATTTTCAGTTTATTAAATACATTCATTTATCACAGCATTCAGAAAACCTACGGAGAAATTGAGATAAATGTCTTCTTAAGTAGCCCTGTTTACCAAACACACCAGCTCTGAAGTAACCAAGCTGGCTTGCCGTGGAAGGAGCAGTTCCAGCAACGCAGGCAATGAAATGCTCTCAGGTCAGGCTACAGTGAAAATTTCAAATCATTTTAATTCAGTGACAACTGCATTATGCAAATGCCTACAGTCATTTATAACTGCTAGAGCTGTACTAGCTCAGGGGTTTCCAGCTACAGTGGGATTTCAACAAAAAGATTCTCCTTGTTGCCTTCCTCTTGCAGAGGTGCTAGAAAAATCCATTGTTGTAGCACTGTGGCCTGACCACAACTCCTCCCCGCTTTGTTACAAGGACAACAAAAAGACAGAGTCAGACCTGCAAAATTTAAACAGAGTAGTATCTTTTCATTTCAGTTTAAACGGAGGCCCTCAATAAATGATGGCAAAATAAGCACAAAATATTACAAAATCTGGGTAAGATTTCCAGAAACACAAGTGTAAGCATGCAGCTACCACTGACATTCAAGAGAGACAGTTTTTCAGTGGTATTGATGACTTTGGCAACCCTCTATGGGAGACACTTTGTTTTCCTAGTAATATTTAACTTATAAATTTTCATCCATACCTAATTTTAACTCTTTGCACTATTAATACCCTGCCTTCATGTTCATCATGCATAGCATCAGCTGCAAGTGGTAAGCTTCACAAATTGAGCAGCAGCTCACAAGATTGCTGTCTGTTTTATTTGCTACCCTGAGCATGAGCCCCTACATCCCAAGGGTCTTTTAGGATTAGGGATCAGCTTTGCCAACATGCTACCTGGGGCAGTTGAAGGAGGGACAGTAACTACACCACCAGGGCAGCCCCTTATGGAGTCAGACCTGAGCACATCTGTCTCACAGGTGTATCTGCAGCTCTAGCCTACAAACAGCACCCAGCAAGCGCTGTCATTCTAAGGCAGGGTTCATGGCACAGTGAACACTAACAAACTTAAAAAAAAAACAACAACAAACCAACCAAACAAAAAGATCAGCCAGGTAAATTCTGCAGAGTGAAATTACCACACCTCTAAATCAGAGAAAACAAATAAGCAAGTTTCACACCAAAACAGCCAACTTCATTTCAAAGGCTTGTTCCTTACATCTGTGCTTTGTACCTTAAACATACGACTCTGTAGTTTTGTTTTGGTATTTATCCCCCAACCATTTTAAATTCTTTGCTCACCATCTGCTTTTGCCTATCCCGTAACAATCAGCTCAGTCTAGCAAAGATGTAAAAGATGCCTGCTTGGCATAGCAAGGAGGAGGTGAAAAAAAGCTAACCCCTGCAGTATTAATTCCCCCTACAAAATCCTGTACAAACTGCCTACAGATAGAGTATCAGTTGAAACCATAAACCCATTTATAGCTGACAACAAGATTAATGACTTGTCCTGCACTGATTTCCTCCTATTAGCTATCAGCGGATCTGTTCCATCTGTCATTTCACAGGAAGGAGAGGAAAAAGAGAAAAATTAAAACAGCACACACCATCACAGACTTAATTTCTCAGTGAGTTCCAAATAGGCCTTGTCATGAAAATGACCTACTTACATTTAGTAACTACGCCTTCCAAATGGATAATATTGGGGTGGTCAAACTGTCCCATGATGCTGGCCTCACTCAGAAAGTCTCTCCTTTGTTTATCAGTGTAACCAGCTTTTAGGGTCTTGATAGCAACACATATCTCTCTTTTTCCTGGTACTTTGAGACGTCCACTGCATACTTCACCGAATTCCCCTTAAGGAAAAAGGCACAAGAGTCCATGGTCATGAACATGAAGCACATACTTGTATTGTCAAACTGCTATGTCAGTTCATCTGTAATACAAAAATCATAGGATCCTATGCTTCCTAAAAGCAAATTTAAAACTATATTTACAGAAAAAAAAAATGCAAAAGTCCTGGCACTTACCCACACCAATAACTTTTTCAATCTTTATGCAGGAGGCATCAATTTCTTTGGCAAATTCCCTCACAGCTTGGTTTGGATCCTCATATGTAAAAGGATCCACATATGTTCTAACACCTGCAAGGCAGAAATGTTTTATTTGAAGTCACTGATCTACATGCTGCTGAACACAGAACATATGAGACTGAAGCCTTAATGATATACAACAGCAAAGAGAATGTACAATAAAAATGTACTGTAAGCCAGGAATGACTGATGAAGGAAGGAAGAATTCGACATATTTTTTCCTCTGATGTGATTTTTTTTTTTTAAATGTAAACATTTAATATTTCCCAATATTTATGTAAGGAACAGGCTTTTGCCAATAAACGAGCTTCACAAATCACTGCCATCACTAACACGCCAATAGCCTGATATGGACCTAGGAGACTAAAACATATCCAATTTCCCTTTGGGGAGCTAAGAAATTCTGAGATCAGGTCCTAGGCTTGGTACCTGGATGACTGAGACGGAAGTAACAGTAAGATTCAGTCCTGGAAAAAAGGCAGCAAAAGTTCACATTCCCTTTCCTGCAGGACTACCTCAAACCCATCCAGAAACTGTTTTACCTGAGTATTGTGTGAAGAATCATGCCTAGATATCAAGAACAAGTAGCCAAGAACTTTCAGCAGAATGCAACAATGGAAAAATTTGTTGAACCTTCCTCCTGCTTGTCTTTAAAAAAAATTTTACCCAGCTACTTCTATTTTCCCATTTCTAAAGCACGCCGTTTCAAAGGAAAATGTTTCCAAGAGAGGAAAATGGAAAAGTATTCATCTCAAGAGGACTATCACCCCTTCCTTCCCAAGCATCAGAACATTGGCCATGTTTTGTGAACCAAATAAAAAAAACCCAAGCACCACTGCCTCTTACCTTGGTTCAAATGCTTCTCCTCATCTGCCTCTTGCTTAGCCTTACTGTACTTACTGCGCCTGTCAGAACAGAAAAAGAGCATTACAATTCAAAATAAGTATGCGACTTTGAGACATGCTCAGCCTTCTCGACCTGCTGAGACTTGAGCTGTTTGTCGGCAGCTCCCCTACGACAGCCTGTGACACAACACACACACACCAGCGCGGGGTGGGAGACTCCTCAAACTGCTCTGTTATTGGCATCAACAAGGTATCAAGGAAAGACAAGCCCATTTGCATCTTGGCATTTAAAGAAAGAAAACAGAGCTTGTGTTTTGGCTACTTTTTCTTCAAAAGTGTACTTGCAATTGTGCACAAAAAGGGGCCAAATTGCTTTTTAGCTCCCATCTTACATGGATTTAAATAGTACAACAGAGGTGTTTCGGTAATTGATTTTCAAACATAAGGTGAATGCCAATAACAACACACTTATTTAACAGCAAATTTAAACTAGCAACACAGTAATATAGAACTCTGGATGGCAGCAAAACAAACCCCTGACCACCAAAAATATAGATCCCAAGGATTTTGTTAATTCTTTTAATCACTATATAATTGAAGGGGGCAAACAGCTCATAATGGTAGAGCTCCTCTACTAACCTTCTGAGCTGGAGACAATAATGTAGTGTTGGATGTTAATGCTACAGATGACTATTTCTACACCTCCACACATGATATTGTACCAGTTATGTATTTAATTAGTTCAGCCTTAAACTTCAATGGACAAGTGGCATTAAGAAAAGTTAATATAAGAGGTTCATCTGTTAGGGAAGATACTGAGGAGTCAATTCAGCCAAAGGTGTACTGGGATTTGAAGGTTCCCAGCACCTAATGCTACACTGATACCAAGATTTTATTTTGGCTTTTACCCATCATTCACTGAAAATTCAGAACCAGGCATAAGAACAGACATTGCCAAAGAGAAGGGCCTACTCCTCAGTTTGCCTGCTCCTATGGAAGTGCCAAACTCCCAGAGTGTCAAAGCCATGTTAGGTAAATGGCAAGAGTCTGGGCTGGTGTGAAGAAAAGGCAGGCAGAAGGAGTAACCAAGTCTGGAGAACAGAAGGCAAGACTGGCACTGCCTGCAATGTGCAACCCATTGCCTGGAGTGGGGCAGGAGGGAACCAGGCCCACCAGGGGCACTGAGGCTGGGGTAGAAGTCTGAGAACATCGAATGGGTAGGGTAGAGGAGGAAAACGGGTCTGGGTGAGAGAAAGGTCCATTGGGAGCTGTAAGTTAAAAAGGGTCAAAAACTTGCAGATAACAGGAAGAACATAAGTGACCGAGAGCTTCACCTGCAGAAAATCTTTCTGAGTCTTGCCAGTCTCCTCTGGTCAGCAAAACCCTCTGCCCATTAGCAGAAAGAATCTCACTTCCCACCCTGTGCAGGGCCTGTGAGGAACAGCAGCTTCCCAACCCTGTCAGCTGAAAGGCCATTTCAGAGCCTTTGCCTCTGCAGTTCTTTAGAGCCGAGTGTTAAACACACTATGCCAGTAATAAAAACTATAAATTACCCATGAAACAGAAGGGGAAAAAAATCCTGTTTGACATGTGAAGACTACTTGATGTTTGAACCAAGCCTCACAGCTCCCAATAACATCAACAGGACTTAGATTCAGACATAAAAAGCAGGTACGCATCCAACTATAAATAGTTGGGAACTTCTTTTCTTGATGAAAGTCAGTTAAAGACAAATGGCTCCAAATCACAAGAGCAGCATTATTAATAAACACACTGGATCCAAACATCAATTTAAACCACTTATCTCAGTAACAACTTACAACACTGGTATAACTGAGTCACGTTAAAGAAAGGGACTACGTTCTGCTCCCAGATACTGAACTGAGTAGATGGAAGAGGCAGCACAAATCTCACCTAATGTCATCCCAGTCAGCTAAGAGGATTGTAGAGATGGTTTCAGGTATTATACAACTTCTCTCAGAGGAAAGAAAAAAAGGAAGGAAAAAAAAATAATTCTGCATTTTAAGCAGGACCCCTTCAGATTCATGTTATTAATGTTCAGGCACAGATGGAAAATATGAAATACAAACAGGCTTTGCATGAAAGCATTTTAAGTATGAAAAAGTGGTCTTTATCTTATTTTTTAAAAGTACAAGCACCCTAACAACAGATAAAAAAATAACCTCCCCCACTAAAACCCAAAGACATGCAAAAGGCAAAAGGAAACAAAGGGATTACTGTTCAGGCAATATAATTGTAGCTTATTAACTTTAAATAATACCTTCCAAATTAGCTACCAACTTCCACTTCTCTGTGTCACCTGTTGACCCGTCCTGCTTGGCTGGGGGCAGGACACTCCTGCCTGCCATTGTCCTCAGGAGCCCCACAGCACGGGGCAGGCAGGGCTGGAGCTGCTGCTGGGCCAGCTCAGCTGAGCGGCAGAAGGAAGCTTTTGTCACAGATTTGAACCCCGTAATTACAGGGATTTTGGCGGTGGTGATTAAATAGTCGGCATTCAGGAAAAGAACACAGCAGTTTTCAGGAACGGTGGGGGTCAGAGAGCCAGGCAGATCACAGGTGGGGGCTGCGATGCAGAGGAGGTAAGAGCAGAGGGCACCGGAGCGCGATGAGCCGGTAAGGCAGGGCTGTCTCTGCTCCTGCTCCCCAGACACAGGAGCTGGAGGGGGTGCTCTCTGGGGGTGGCTGGTTCAACACCACCAGCAAAAGGTGGGCACGTGTTCAGATGTTTACTGCTCATGAGAGAAATCAATCTATCAATTGAAAGATTTGCCAACAGAAACTTTTCCCTGACCAGAGGATTATATAGGGCTATCTTACTCCACACAAGCCCTTTCAGAAAGTGGCTCTTTCTGTTTTACACTTTCCCAAATCCCTTACAACACTATTTGTGATATTCTAGTTTCACTCAGCGTTCCCAGAGGGCAGAGTTTAGGAATACACCACCTCCTGCATTCTGTTCTACAGATATGCTCATCTTAACCTCAGGAAGTTTAAGCTAACATTTAGGCAGATGAATTCTCATTTTAGCATAAACACCGTGGTTGCAGGACAGAACCAAACAGCTTGAGCTGCCTGAAGAAAAAGTCCTAACACAAATGCTGTTGTAAAGATGAATTTTGGGTTTTGAGCAATGACTTGAAAAAAACACAATGCTGTATTATTAGTGATAACACAGTTCAAAAGTGGGCACTTCTAGCATATGCCCAAATCCAGCATTTGGCCCATGGATGTAGAGTGGCCGTATCTGCAGGCCAAACCACAGTTTTGATTGTACAAATATGACTTTTAGGTCTTGGCTAGATCACTAAACTCCTCATGGGGACTGTATTGACAGCAAAGTTTCTTCTCATCTGAAGTCATCTTAGAACAAAGTATAATTATTTTTCTATTAACTTCTGCTGGTATAGGAACATAATGAAATATCCTCAAGGCCCACACCTCTAAATGACATTGGCGAAGTGGTTAAAATCATTAGAGTGATAGTGAATATCAAAGTAGATTCTGTTTATTGAGAGCTACTTCCAGCTACTAGAGAGCTGTGTATTGAGGAAGGCTATTAATTAGCAAAGCACCATGCATTAGTATGCACAGAGCAGTTTTACTACCCTAGTATTTCATTCATCTTGCTCTATGTCTTTCTCCTTCCACAGCCTCCATGAGACCTACCATTGCAGAGCTACAGGACATTTCTGAACCCACGGCCACCAGCATACTTTTATCTCCATTTCCTAGAGCTCAGACCAGCCTTTTCCTACTGTCCTCTTGCTCTTTGTTGTGTCTTTGTCGAAGTTGAACACTTGTGGGCAGAGATAACTGAACAGACAGCTGGAGCGGTGGGAAGACCTGCCTGAGCATGCACCCCCCTCAGTGAGTCTGTCAGCTACCTGGCTCCAGGCAGCCTCTCCTTTGACAGCTTTATGGCTGATACTAAAGAGAATCAATATGAGGGCAAGGGGCTGACATTTCATTTTCTAAAAGGTGATCCATTGAGGGCCAATCACCAAGAAGCGTTTATCAGCCTTGGGAAGCGACATTTTTTTTATTGGAGGAGGAGAGGAAGGAATCATCTCAAGGCAGCTCGACAGGCTCAATTCTCCAAGGTGGCGACTCATAATTAGAAAGCCAATGTATCCTGCTATCAATCCTGCCTTAAATAATAAAGTGATCAATAAAAGTAGAGAGGAGATTAAGTCATCAAGCTTAGTGTTGCTATTTGCTGTTGCAATAGCTTTTAATAAACCTATCTCTCTGCATTGCATTTTCATATGTTCTGCTCTTCTTGCCAGCCTCGAAGCTTTGAGTTGAACACCCACAGAAAGCTGTAACAACGTGTGCCTACTTTTCAGATATTGCAATCATTGTGACTTAACTGCTCTTTAAAATAATTTGAGAGCAAATCAAGATGAATTTGTGCACATTTATGTGCTGATGCCATTAAACTGATCAGAGATTGACAGAACATGCACCCCTCAGATCCCAAGCTACAGATCTCAGAATTGCACTGAAGCAAAATAATGCTGATCTTTTTAAATGACACAGAACACAAAGATGAAGGCACAAACACTGACACTGTTTTTCTGCCACACTGTCCTCCCAGTCTCAGGATTGTTCCTGATGCCTGGGTTGAATGTGGGAGAATGAACAAGCACTCGGTAGAAGATTATGGTCCTGCTCCAGTCTGCTGTTACTACACATAATGCTGAATGACCGTGGCTTCTGTTTCACAGTCATATCCAGTCACACTGGGAGGACTAACCCAAAAGACTAATGCAGACTCATACAGACAAACACAAAAATCACAAGCATAGCAGTCTGACAGCTTAGTTCACAACAGTGCAGTTGTTTACTCCCTGTCTATCAGGAGTCAGCCTAATAAAATCTACTGTACCCATAGCCATTAAACTTAACTTGAAATTACACTAACCACAAATCTCTAGCTGGCTTGCTTCTCAATGCCAGTTATTGGGATCAGCTTTGCATTTGAAGAGCAAATAGAGCTGGAACTATTGCCATTACATCACATGCTGCTTGGTACTAATGTTGAGAAGATCAAAGCTACATGGGAGAAGGCTTGTAATGCAAATGCACTGTTTATGATGCTAATCAAAGAATTTAGCTTTGTTTGGAGGAGACAAAAAGCTCCCTCATGAAAGACAGAGAGGGAGAGAGAGGCTTAAGTTCTTACCTCCTGCTGATGACAAAGGCTGCAATGAGAATGACCACAAGAACAACACTGCCAGCCACTGAAACAAGGAGCACTGTGGGGTTGGTACCATCACCAATGATGGGGGAAGGAACTGGAAATAGAAAAGGGAACGTTAGCATCAGATGCCCTCAAAAAAAACAGCCTAGGTAGCACTCAAAGAGGCTTTCTGGCTTGTGGAGGCAGTTTAGAGCAGCCCTCAAATCTACTTTCAGGCCTTTATTATATAGTCATTTGACACAATTTTCGAACAGGGACCTAATTAGGTGAAGACATGATGTTTGATAATGATTTGGAGAACTTCAGTTCACTGGGAACAAGGACTCTCTCTCCTTCTTTTCTTCAGTGTTGCTCAGAGGATTTAATGGCTTTTTTTTTTCCTTTCTAATTGCTTTATGCTCTTCTTTCCTCCTCCTTTTTCTCTCAGTGGGGCCTGATGATCACTCCCCAACTGACACAAAGAGAGTAAGTTATTTTAAAATGTCTTCTCTCTTCCTGCTGGATTGATTATTTTCAGCTGTTAACATCCTGAAGGACATTGCCACTAACTGGCGTGACCCTAAATTGATTTAAACAGACCTGTACGTCCAAAATCAAACAGGCTTGGTCACATTGCCTTCCTGCCACCGAAAAAGCAAACATTTTGGGGGCTAAATTTCCATGTTTCCTTGAGCAAAATGAAAAGCTCTACTGACAACATAATTCAAACATTCTGTCATTATATAACTGTCTAAGGAAATGTGAGCTGATGTAGGACACTTAACTGATGTATGTCAATAGTGTGCAAAGGGGAACAACAGGGTTCTGTTGTCCTGCAAATGAGATGTTAAAAGAACACATGGGAACATCTACATTTACAGTAAACAAAATAGGTACATAAATTTCTCAAGAATCTGTGGCTTCCAAGTGTTTATGGGGTGAGTGTGTCCTTATGCCATTCTGAAGTATCTTTATTAGAATCTAGAATACAGCATAACCAAACAGATGTCTCAGGTCAGATTCATTATATCATTAACACTCACGTGACCATGGATGAACATTTTCCCAGAACAGATACACCACAATCCAGTCAACCAAAGGGAAAAATTCCCAACACATAGCTCAGTTACATTTGCTATCTGCTCAAAGAGAAAAAAAAATAAATTGGTGGGGTTTATATTACCTGTATTAGTTGTGAACTCAAATGGTCCACTGAAGTCTCCATATCCTGCTGCTGTCCTGGCCCTCACATGAAATACATATGAAGTAAGGGGGTTCAAGCCTTTGATGTCAGTATTCCTGGAGGCTGTCTTCACAATGCGATAGCTACGCTCGTTTTGGTCCTAACAAGAAAAGAATACAGTGGTGATCAAGTAAAAATGCCTCGTTGCACCATGAACCATGGAACCCCACTTCCTTGCCAAAAACTGTCATGATGAAAGAAGACGAGTAACAATGATGGAATTCTCAAAATACATCCTGAGGGTTCCTGCTGTCGGCCTTGCTCAATCTCCCTACCACTGCGTGCTGCGTGGAGCCCTGAGCAAGCCAAAAAAGGATGATGAGGCAGTAGGCATGATGCTCATATATCACTGATTACTTAAAGCACACAACAAAATCCTTTGGAAAAAAGCCAAGCCCTCACTATTATCCTCTTGATGAACAAGCAACATTTTACTCACACATGCTGGCACTTCCTTTTTCTTCCTGTCAGCCAGGAGCCATATTAAAATATATAAAAATATTTTTAAAAAGAAAAGAGCTAGACAAATGTCTTCCAGAAAGTCCAGTCTTAAAAATGGTTTTATTTTTGGCTGTAAATACATCAGAAAATGTAATAGTCCAGCTTCCCTGCAAATGAGATGCCTTTTTCTGTGTGTGTTAAGGAAGCAAATAAGTGATTATCTTTACTAAAAACATTCAGAAGTATGCACGTGTGTGTGAGAGACTGCACACAAACAAAAGCAGGTATTGTTCATTTTTGCACAGAACCTTCAAAGAAAGTATCTCTTTTCCTAGTTCCATACTTGAGAAGTTACTTGTAGGAATAACATTTCCCTCTAACTTGGAAAGTATGAAGAATGTAATTTTGTCTCCTTATTCTCTATTAAAAGCCATCCAGCCCACACTATCATTCTAAGCAGAAGCTATTGGCAAACAGATCTTATTATTATTACTGTTTTAGATACTTCATTATTACATGTCTATCTGTGAAGTAAATCTGATGTCTCACTTCTGCCCAACATTATTGATTCTCATTATAAATATGCTTGCTTGAAAAGCTCAGTTCCTAGGTAGGAAAAAAACAACAAAATATACTCATACCATACAGCTGGAACAGCCTAGAAGTCTTACTCTTTCAAGCTACCATTCAAGTGTATGAAATCCTTAATTGGATTTTACTAAACTGAATCTATTTGGTTTCATGTGATGGAATCCTATCTGGAAATAAACCGTAATGGAAAGAATTAAAAAGCTCTCCCCAAACCCAAACGAAACTCACTGCTTGTCCATTTCTGAACAGTACCTTTTCATAGTATTTGACTTCATACTCCAGGATAACTCCATTTGGCCTGTCAGGTTCCAGCCAAGCCAAGGCAACACTGTGTCTTGTTATCTCTTTAGCCTGGATCAAAACAATTGGGGATGGAGCTGCCAGGAATAAAAAAATACAAGAAGTTTTTAATCATAGTTTTCACAACATGAGAAACTGTGTTTTTCTTGCAGGGGGAAATGGAAGCCTTAAGTATTCTTCCTGTTTTCTCTAAGAGGGAGCTCCAGGAATAAAAAATACAAGAAGTTTTTAATCATAGTTTTCACAACATGAGAAACTGTGTTTTTCTTGCAGGGGGAAATGGAAGCCTTAAGTATTCTTCCTGTTTTCTCTAATAAAAATTGCATTTAATTCCTCTCTAATAAAGCATGTTCTTGGATTCTGGACAATACTAGATAGGTAGGCTTTGAATCAACCTTACAGTTGTCTAAACACTGCAGTGTTTGTGATGTCTAGGTGCAAATCTCCTTAATAGGCTAAGGCACAAAAAAGGTTCTACCTTATTTTTGTCTTTCCTTAGGCACAGTACAGGGGCTTGTACTTTGTTCTGTCCATAGTAATTCTCTTCCTCCATCTCCAAAAATTAACCAATGTTATTTTATTAGCTATTTGCTTTACAGGAACTATGAAATTCCTGAGAGGCCAATCTAGTTTTCTCTAAAGTTGATAAAATACTGCCCCTGAGTTAAGAATACATAATTCAGAATAAAGCTGAATACATACAAATTTGGACCCTCCCATGAAAACCAGGAAACTTGTATTTCAAGAGCCTGAGCCAATTTATGCTTCCTAACTTGACCTGTTTATGCCCGAGTGTGTGAGCAATCTGTGGAGAATGAGGAAGCTCAGCACCCAAGGGCCAGATCCTGACTTCGATAGGTCCTTCTGAGCTAGAAGATTCCAGATTGGCCCACTGTGTACCAAACTGGCATCACCTGACCCTGTCCTGTGTGGCCCAGTATCGATGCAATGAATAGGAAAAGCAGGATTACACTACCAAGGGTAAGGGCTGCATGAGTTTTAGAAAAACTCTTAGTGAGTAACAAGCTAAACTCAAAGATCCTTTAAAATGTATCTGTGAGCAGTAACAAGGGCTGCAACAAAGAAGATAATGGAAAATATCTCATTGTGCACCCTACACTCACAATAAAGCCCCTGCTAATGCTGAAGTTCAGGGTTTTGACTGGCTGGAGGACAATGTGCTCTCCCTTTGACTGTGATAGCAGCAGATTCACGGCTGCGCTGGGGGAACGGGTTTCTGAAGATTTATGAACCAGGCTGCCCCTTTCTTGCTGTTGTGTTGCTGTGTGGTCACATCTTTAGCCAGCTGTTATCAAGCTCTTTTGATGCTGACAATAGCTGGTATAAATGGTGGAGTCTCCAGGGATAAAAAGGGACATTCATGAAATTTTTAATCTTATCTAACAAAGCTGTCCTGTATAACCAGAGATTAGAGGTCTTCCTAAATTGAATATATTTCTTCTATTGTCCCCTGAAGCTGTAGACATGTTGCTCGTTTCCCCCACCCCTTTCTTTTTGCTTCATTTTCTATGCTTAAGTTTGGGATGACAATCCATGAAAATGTTAGAGTAAAAAGTATCCTTGAAACACATATCCTTGAAGACTACCAAGAAGGACAAATAAATAAAACAGTCACAATAAATGAAAGGAAAATTGAATGTTGAAAGCCTCAAACCTACTTGACCATATCAGACAGTTCTGATGGAAGTGAAAATAACCAGTAGACGCTGCACAGTCACAAAAGGGTGTCTCCTCTTGATGTGAAACCATCAGGGAGCTGCTTCCCGATTTACTATTTGACAGTTTGGCATCTCTGTTAGAAATGCCTCCAGAACCTTTCTCTCTTTTCCCTTGTCTGTCTCTCACATGCAAAGGTAAATACTGGATGACAGAGGAGACTATAAATGCAGCCAACAGGGAGGATCCAGGTGTGCTCCATCAACTTATATATATCTGTGGCATGACTGAAAACCTGCTTAATAACCTCCCAGTTCCTCAACAGACTTTCCCCCTCTCCCCCCCCCCACCCCCCCCCCCCCCCCCCTTTGCAATAAGAATACCACACAACTAATAAATTAGAAATCAGATTTGTTACCCTAAAACACACACATGCACGACATTACTGATAATCCAACCGGAGAGAAATCTGCTTAGTTAATGGGTGCCTCATGCAGGGCAGACAGGCAATTCTTTTTACTGAGAATCTGTCACTTACGCTGGTCTGACCTCAAGAATTGCAGAAAGTTCACTTTCTTTCCTTTACCCTCTTTTTAACCTCCTTGGTCTCCTATTTCATTTCTGCAGGCATTTATATTGGAATTCAGTGAGCCCTTCAATATTGGGCTGGTAAATGCTGTATGAAAACACATTTCTTCTCTGTTGTAAAATGGCTGTTTACAGGAGAAGAATATATATAAACTACCTCTTCTTGAGAAAGATGCTTAGCTTTATACAGTTTAACAAGTCCTTTCTCATGTCTCAAAAATGGACAGCTGATCTATAGACATCACATCAGACTGGAATAAACAACTTGCTCCTGGCCTTCAGGACACAAAGAGGACTTGTACATCAACTCCTTTGTTACTTCTTACAATTACAATTGTAAGAATGGCCCTAGATTTTCCCTTCCTGGCAACTTCATTGTACTTAAATGTTTATTTTTTTTGTCCTATATTGTGCAGATGTGATTTAAGTTATTTTGTTTTTACTATATGTCCTGCCTCTCCATACACCCTATAGAAATCCTAAGAATGATGAAGCCAAGCAACAGGATGAAGTACCAGAATTGCAAGATGCTGTCCTGGAGCTCTTTGACATCTCTGCAGCACAGACCTGAACAGTCGATGTAATAGGATAGTGGTGTGCAACTCAGCCTTGAGGAACTGGGCTCAGTATCCACATGGGACTACTAGTTATCCCACTGCATGGATCAAATCCTCCATTATCAATTCTCTGTTATTTCTGCAAACAGCCCTATAAATCAGCTTTCCTTGTTTTCCAGGATCCACCAGCTGACCTAAACAGTTCAAAGTCTGGGCTTATGAAGAAAAACAGGTTTGGGTCTCCTTGGTCATATGTTACCAAAAGGGTGTAAGAGCCCCAGACCAAGAGGAGACCACCACTGCCAGCTCTCCATGGCAATCCAGGAGGCAGGCACAGTGAGCTTGTGCAAAATATTTAGTCTTTGCTCTTCTGCCTTTTGCCTTGAAATTGCCTCTTAGGGATGATAAGAAGATAAACATGTAAGAGGTTATAGAATGATGCTTTGATCACAAGCACAATAAAAGACAATCTTCCCTTACATGCGCATGGGCTAACTGTTCATTATGCATACACATTCCTACACAAAATATTCTGAGGACAGCTTGACCAAAAGAATAACGTACACAAATAAGATGTTTGCAACAAGGTCATATAAGAGACTGGAAGACAGCTTTTACTTTTTGCACATTCCTCCTCCCTTCTCTCTGCTATTTGGAAAGAAACACTAAGCCAAAAACTTGTTTCTAAGCCACCACTGCTTAAAACAGCAAGTTTTTCTGCCCCAAGTAGCATACACTGTACATACCAAGCACCAATTCTACCAGAACAGCCTATTTCACAAGGAAGAATGACAAGGTATTTTGGTGCCTAAAACGAGGTCCCCTTGAACAAAAGCACAAAGTGTAACTTTCCGTAGTTCAAAGCTCAGCAGTTCCTCTCCCTTAAAATCTCACTCCCTACTGATGTGAATGTTGCAATTTTCTTTTATCTACTTCCTCAATAACCTGCCATTAAACACCTACTAGTAGTTTTATTACTGCGGTTCTGAGCTTGTGGCCTACAGAGAGAGAAAGAGCACAGATGTACTACAAAAACTTCACCCAAATGCCATAAAGCCGTATCCCTAGGCTAATAAGTGCTGAATTATAACAGTTTTGAGGCACTTTAAAGGATGGTAGAAAGAGAGTGTCAGTTTTTCATTACTGGTTCAAATTAGGGAAAGGAGGGAGAGGAAAAAAAACAGGAAATAAATAGATGCAATAAAGTCTCTGGCATGTAGGCATCCATGAGTGAAAACAGCCCTTTATAAAACTACAACACATGAGTACTCAGATATCAGAGATACACAATGCCCAGTGTTTTAGTGAAGATGCCTTCCGAACCACAGCAGGGTTTACTTCCCACTCTCCGTGATTTGAATTTAAATGGATCATGTTTACTCAAGGGGTCTTTCACTGATTGAAAAATACACCCACAGTTTGTACATTATCTTAGCTAAATTCAAATAACATATTTAAATTTAATTACTTGAAGCTTAAGGGGTTTCATGCTTTTCTTTTTACCCTCAATTGCATACAACAACACTTATTTGTTCTTATCAATGGCTATGCATTTTGTCAAGCATCAAAATTAAATGCATGAAAGCACTAATGATGTTACTGTGATTAAGGGTTTTTACCTTCCAGGGTAGATACTAAAAGCCTGCTCCGTTATTAATTACTTTAAAAAAATAATAAAATAAAATTCTGAGAATCTAACACTGAAGAGAAGTCCTCTTCGAAATCTAAACAAGACAATAAAAGAGCCTCCATTAATTTGAGCAAAACACATTTAAGGGAACCTGGTACATTTCAAGTTTTCACTTTGAGTATTTACCTTGCAATACTGTGGGATTTTACCTGGAATTTTGTAAATTATTTTATCAAAAAATCTCACAGCAGGAAAAGGATACACAACACAGAATCAAAAATGTTTTTAATAATTTCTAAAGGCAACACCTTCCAGGTTGGATTTTGGTATTATTTTTCATGTAAAAGAGCAATTTACTCTACCAGCTCTTGCACTGATTTGAAATCAAGTGACAGGAAAAGTATCCAGCCCTATTTAGTTACACATACCAGGCTAAATTAAAAAGAAAGCGGGTCTGCTGTTTCCCAAAATGTTGATGTTCAGTCCTGCTTCCCATTGGTTCCTTGGGCCCTTTTTACACACTCCTCTCTTTGGTTCTGGCAAAAATGCTGTCAGGCCCCTCTTTCTGAGGAACACCACCCCTGTGCTCTAAGCACTCCTGGCAAATACCTTCACAAAGGCGAAT